TTTCTTTAAAACATTGCAAGGCCAAAATTCTTTTGAAAACAGGCTCACAAAGGAAAGGGTAAGAAATCCTAGCTCACAAGTACCAAACCTAGCTAGCGTTGCACTATTTCGGCTTTTGCTTCCTCAAAGCCCCTTAATCTGAGTCCTCAGCTAGCACTGATACAAAACCACACTTTAGGATCCAATTCATATTCCTGAAGCAATTTCAATCTCAATTATACCATTTGATTTCCTATTAGTGTGCCATAATTCAATTACCGGTTTCACAAACCATTTCATGTTTCAAATCATCATTCCAAGGGTTTTCAATCTCAAAACATGGATTAAAGAAGTTAATCCATTCATTCTAGGTCCCCAAATGAAGCTAATTTGGGTTCTCCTCGAAAACTGAGGTCAAAACAAGGTTTTTCAACAAAACATGGTTAAACCCCGTGTACACCGGTCGACCGGTGATAGAGTAGTGTAACACCACCAGTCGACCGGTGGTATGCAATTCGGTCGACCGCATAGGTCAACTGGTGTAATCAGTGCAGTCCAGTCGACCGCATAGGTCGACCGGTCCGGTCGACCTATGAAGAATAGCAAGTCGACAAAAACCCACGGAATTAGCCCAAAAACCTACAATTTCAATTCCAAATCAAAATATGTCAAAGGAAAACCACTAGAGCTGGGTTCTAAGTACTGAATCAAGTCCAAATAACCCAAGATCTCCAATTTCTACCATGGTTTTACTCAAAATCCGTCAAAATCCATTTCGAACCAAAAATAAGTTTTTAAATGTGAAAAACTTGAGATTCAAGAGAGGTTTTTCAGAAATCTTACCTCAAATCCTTCTCTTGACGTTGAAAGCTGCTTGAAATTTTCCTTTGTTTCGAAATCCGATTGATTTTGAAGTAAAAACGGGAGGGAGGGAGAGAGAGTGAGAGTGAGAGAAAGAGAGAGTGAGAGTGAGAGAGTTGCACGGGCAGGGAAAGAAAGGAAGGAAAAAGAAAAGGAAAGAAATAGGAAAAAGAAAAAGAAAAGAAAAGACATGTGTCCAATATTTAAAATGGCAGTCCAGAAAATGTGCCCACACACACTTCTGGGTAAAAATGTAATTATTGAGAATATTTAAATACCTTGTAATTATTTAAATTTACACGTCAGAAATATTTAATATCTAATCATTGATTAATTAAACCAGATTCTTCTTCAAGTTCTTGAGGAACCTCATAGTTTCTAAGTGTTGACCTCTTTAGAAACTCCTTAAGAACACTTTTCAATCCTCTTTCAACACCACTTGAGAGTGTTTTGAGAGTTATCTTCATACTTTCCCGAAAGTATTCAAGCTTCCAACCTCAGAGTAATTCTCATTTATCGTCGGAGGGAGTGCTCCAAACGGTCTCCATGCTCTCAAAACAACCTGCATCAGACTCCTTCGTAGAATTTTTTTTCTCCTTCAGTGCCTTATCCACTAGCGAAGCTACATACTTAAAGCCTCCAAAGCAGCCCGTAAACTATTTTTGGAGCCCTTCTCCATCAAATAGCCTTTTCCTCCTCTCGAGTCACTCCTCAATCAACTATATGACCACTCCTCCCACCATTCTTCATTCACAAAGTTCTTCATTATTATTTTTCAGGTTTTCTAACATTTTTTTGCAGGAGTATTTTTGTGATTTTGACAACAAAAAGGGCCCTAGAACATGTGTTCTTCGGTCTAATTTGGGTCTAAGCAAACCACACCAACATCGGAGGTCCTACGATCAGTGTCTACTTCGAATGCCCGTTAAGTCCTTTGGCCGCGTTGGAACTGCCACCAACGAGTTTAATACTTACACGTGCACACCCCCGCCACATCATACCCTCTAGATCCACCAGACCCATATAGTATTCATTAGAGAATCAATGGTACTCAAAGATAAATACGTAATTAGAAAAGTTAACGAATTTTACCTAGCTCTAATTATGAATTATTTATGGAAGATTGATCTATATGTAATGACTATATTAAATTGACACTTCAAGTTATTGGAAGTAAATTATGTCTATAATTTCGAGAGTGCAATTCCAAGTTTATAGTGGAGTAACTTTTATAATTAATAGAATTAATAATTAATTAAATAAATAATTAATTAAAGAGTTTAATTAATTATTAATTTTATTAGAGCTCAAAATTATAGGTCCATGAGTCTCCACCTCATCCTTATATGTGCAAGAGAAGATGAATTATTAGGAATTAATATCACTCGAAATAAATAATGTGATTATTTAAATTAATTAATTTCGGAACACAGTGTGGTGGGACCACAGGAGGCCACACCCCAACACAGGAAGGTGCAGAGGGCGTGTGGCATAGGGAAGAATCCATCTACGATTCAGTTACTTTCTCTCCAAGTTATCTAGTTTACTTGTTTGGCAAGTTATCCAATTAAATTTAAAAGGAAATTAAAGTTTAACTTTATTTAAATTTGAATTTGAGTCAAAAATTAAAAACTGGTTAAAAGAATAAATTCTTCTCCTTTTCCTAGCAGTGTTGGATGCCAACTACGGGGAGATATCCATGTGGTGGACGGTTGTAATAGAGATAGAGATTGAGAATTTTTGTTTCCAAAACTAAATGGGAAAGTATATTTTAAATATGATTTAAAATATAAGTGATAACCAATCTTCTGTTGCTTTAGCTTGAAGATACAAATAGCTCCCCTAGAACTCTATAAAGGACACATTAGAAAATTAGAGAACATAACTTCTACTCTCTTTCATTGGTATAGGCGTGCACTATAGAGAGAGAACATAGAAGAAAAGTTCTTTCAGTTCCCGGTTACACCTCATACATGCATTGATATTGATGGAAGACAAATTAGCTAGTGATCAATTCCCTTAGTTCTAAATTAGAGCCCACACTCTAAGTCTTGCAAGTATTAACGACTAGACAAGGAATATTCGGGTATTCGTAGATAGCTTGGAATGAGGATTGTTTGTGGTCAAAGAACTCAAGTTATTGACCAAATTGTTCGCTAGGTAAATTAATAAATTAATTAGATTAATTTATTTGTGTATAAATTAATATAAGGGAGAAAGAGGGAAATAGGCCAAGACTTGAGATGAATTAAAATTAATAGGCCAATAGTTTACATAAGTTAATAAATAGGCCAAATTACTGTTTTCGTCCATAACTTGTCTGGTTATGAACCATAACTTGACAAATTATTGTCCATAATTCACGGGTTTTGTCCATAACTTGTCTGGCTATGAACCATAACTTGACAAGTTTGTCCATAACTTATCTGGTTATAAACCAAACTTACAAGTTATGGCCTATTAATTTCTATAACTAAAAATTGGCCTATATACTTTCTTAAGCTTTTCATATTGGCTTATTTTCTACTATTTCCCTTAATATAATCTATAGAGTATTTCAAAAGTTTTATAAAAATTTTTGTTATGCAAATCTGCTCATATTGGCTTTTACATTCGAAATTGTTTCGAAAATCAACACATTGTACTTGTGGTGGTGTGAGCGAGACTAAATCCATCCTTATAGTAGAATTGGAAAGGTCCTTCCTGTTTTGTTAGTGAGCTCCTAAATTTTTATTATAACGAAATAAATGAAGGACAGAATGACACTAATGATCTTTTTTACTTATATGAGTACTATGTTCATCACATGCAATGAATAGTATACAGCATGTAACAAAAACTTAATCATAGCGAGAAAGAGAGAGAAGGGAAAAAAAAAAAGAAAACAAAATTAAAGAACTCCTTATCTACTTTTGATAAATTTTTGAAGGAATACGGATGAGACATTAATAAGCTGCAACCCATGTGATGTGATGAACTCCAAAAAAAAAAAACAAAAACAGATCCAGTTATAACTATTACTTCTCTCTCAAGCAAAGTACTACCAACTTTGAGTCCATTTTTTGGTGGTCCAAAAGGTTTTTCTCCTATTTGGTCTTG